AAAGCGAGTGGGGTTTCTTTTGTTGTTTGTTTTTAATATTTGGAGATTTAAATATTGGATTTCTACTTCATCTTCCCTCCACACATTTCATGCATGAAAAGTAATGTAATGGCAGTCATGTTTAATTCATGAGAGAGGGAATCACATTTAAATGCTATTTGCCAAATGGATTAAAAAAAATACCAAACCCAAATGAAGCAGGAAAATCCAATAAAGCCTCATAACAGAAGTGCACACAGTAAAATGTGCATCATCAGAACACTTCAATCAATTAGCACAGATCAACTTGTTCATTCATATCAGCAACTTAATTTGACTTACTTCAAGGAAACATTCTTACTTATATTAACTTTTGAAGGGATATTTAGAGATCATCCTCCATTGAATATCATAAAAAATTTAGCTTCCATTAAAAAAAAATTGCTGGTCAGAAAACCATGTAGTGAAATGAGTACTTTTAGACTGAATGGAATTTTGCTGAATGCATAATCTTAAGGAAAAAGAAAGCTTAAAAAAAAAAAAACAGAACTCAACAAACACATCTTATTGTGATATCTACATATTTTACTGTGTCATTCAAATTTAATGGAGAGTTGTGATTATTTTGGGAAAAAAAAAAAGGAAAAACAAAAATGATGATGCAACTCTTTTAGAATGACACTGGTCCACGCTTATAAAGCATCCAATTCAAAGGCCTACAAGATAAATATGGTCAGCTCAGAATCTACATGTCTGAGTGTCTCTTGCAAGGAAGGAGACATTTATTAGGACTTTGTATTTGCAGTGAGTGGCAGCTTGTAATCTGTCTACTGCTTCTCTAGGTCTTTTAAGACTTTGATGAAAAGGACAGAAATGTGAAAATGAGAGAATGTATTTCAGGCCACCTTGAAACTAGATAGCATGACAGGAGAACTCTAAGGAAAAGATAAGGATTTTCCTAGAAAAAGCCTTGAATCTTTTTTAGTTTTTTATTTCTTTTTTATTTTTATTATTTTTTTTGATTGGAGAAAGTTAAATGGACTGAGTGAAAAAATAAATTCACTAGAAAAATGATAGTCAACTTATAATTTAATATAGTCGATATAATGTCGTAACCAAGAAGGACCACAGAGACCTATTAGGGCAGGGATTCCCAGACTTTGGGTGCTCGTCAAAATACATATTCCTAAACCTCATCCCTAGAGATTTATTCATTCAATATAAACTTGTTGATTCTTGCTATTGTATAGGCTCCGGGATAGTGGTAAGTGAGCCAAAATCATTGCCCTTTTAAATGAATGTTAGTACAAGTGATCCACAAGTCATACTCTGGGAAATGTACCCTTTCCCAACGATTTTGTTATTGGAATTATCCTTATTTTGATACTAATTTTTCATAGCACCGTTAACCTTGGGATTCAAATGATATACGTTTAGTAAAATGAAACAGAAGAATTTATTTCCCAGAATGAACAACAAGGGGCCCCCTTGTAACTGTGTTACTTCCTGCTGCTGTGTCGCTTCAGGAAAATTTATTACTCTAAGCCTCAATGTCATCGTTTGTAAAACAGGAATTACAAAAAGGGCTTACAACTTTGGGGTTGCTATGAGGATTAAATATCTGTAGTGACTGGTATATGGTAAGCAGTCAAGTAAATGTAAAGTTTTATTATCTATCAGTCAATTTATGTGATTTCACACGTTTTCTTAGGAAACTGCCACAGTGGATCTATGTGATCTAGTAGAATCATGGAACCTCAGAGGTGAAAGAAATTTTATAGATCGTTGGTGTGTTACGACGGTGTTCAAATCGTGCTGGGGTGGGGGTGGGGACCGCAGGTCTAAAGCGTGGCAGGAACTACAACATTGCTTTGAGCTGTTTTACCTAATGGGATTCCATATGTAATTTTAGAGGATAAAAGACCTGTTGTTAAGAAAAACTTGAAAAACACTGGCTGTCCCAATCCCTCGTTCTAAAGATGAGAAACTAAGAAATCAGTGATTTGTCCAATGTCACACCGCAGCAATTAGCAATAGTTACTGTAGTCACCAGGCTTCTTTGAAAGGAAGATTAGAAATGAAAATATGTGTCAGGATTGCCTCAGACACTTTGCAGATTGAGTAAAAATATGTAAAAACAAAAATAAAACATCTCTATTCACTCAAAACCATTTGAAATATGGATGTCCTTTCTTTATAGGTGAAATAGATTCCCAAATACCATACAGTGAATTTTCCTTTTGTCTGTAGGTGTAGAAAAGAACAGAGCTTTAAAAATAATTAAAAATATAATTCCTAGGAATTATAAATTCCAACTATGGTAAAATTCAGACTAATTCTTAACAAGAATTTATTTTTAAAAATATCAAGAAAATATGGAATTTATTTAAAAAGAAAAACATACTTTCCATGTTGTCAAAATAAAGCAATACCATTCATACTTTCTATCTTGTTAGAACAGAAACTTTTAAAATAATAAATCTCAAGAAGTGGTGTTCTGGTTAATGAGAACTCTTTCTATCTTAACCCCTGGTATTGAAAATATTAATATGTACTTGCCCATTTTGTTCTGTTTAGGAATTGATAATGAACCTGACTTCATGTTGTTGTTTTTTTTTTTAATGTAGTAGAGACTCTTGAATTATCTAGGATCTTTTTTCCTAACAGGAATTCTTACTATACAGTACTATGGATATGGGTTTAAGAGGAGATTGTAAACTACAAGGTTAAAAAAAAAAAAACTACCAAAATCTAAAGCCCTGATATGAGTTTATTGTGTTATTATTTGACCTATTTTTCTGAAAGAAGAAGGGATATCTTCTCTATTGAGGTTCTGGTTATTGAAAGTTTAATAGTTATGAAGCCAATGGCCTCCATTCTGTTTCACAAAGACCAGTCAAGGGATCATAAGAGATCTTCATAGGGTCAAATTTAGTTCCTGGAAATGTTTGAATAATGTTAGAGATTATTGTAATCCATGTTTTAAATTATATTTTTACAATATCAACAGAATTATTCTTCGAAAAAAACCCTTGTGTTTAATTACTAATTCACTCTAGAACTATATAAAATAAAATATAAAGAGCAAGACATTAAGAACCAGTAATATTTACACATTTTTAATATGCTTTGTGTTAATATTCAATACGTTTTCCTTATGAATTGATTACTTAAAAAAGCATTTTTATATTCATATGCTGGATAATTCTCAATTTTCTGCTGCTTACTCTCCATTGGTTTCAGTCTTTGATGTTTCCCCATGTTTTATGGGATTTAAAAGTTTGCATTTCCTATTTTGGTTTCAAAATCAAATTGAATATCTTTACTTAAAATGAGTGTATTAATAATTTGTCCAAAAAACTTCCACACCAGACTGGGGAGCCAACTGAGTGTCTGAATAGTAGGAATTCTTCTGAGGTAAAACAGATCATTTTGAACATTTTCTGGGCAGCAAGCATTGATTGAGAAGTACAAATGTTAATTTAAAAATTTCCACTATAAACAATTGCCCGTCACGATCTCATTTTAAAAGTAAGACTTACAAAATTTAATTTGATCTAAAATTTAAAGGGACTAACGATTCTTTGTCAAATATACATGAACGTAAAATAAAATTTAGCAACTAATGAGGAATACAACAACTTAATAATTCCAGTTATTTAATAATATAACTTAGAGTCTACGGCCATACCACCCAGAACGCACCCGATCTTGTCTGATCTCGGAAGCTAATAATATAACTTAGAGTAAGAATCGGTTCATGTTTAAAATAAGGTCTATGACTTAAAGGAAGTTTTATGTTTTCAGATAGTGCAGGAGGAAGAGTTTACAGCTGAGACCCGCCCCAAAAGGAGTGCTTCTCCGTTCTGAATCCTCACACTGTGAGGCCAGACTGAGTAATTACAGTTTCAATGATACCTCGCTACAATGAAATCATGACATAAATTTCTGGGTAACTCTCTATCTGACTCCCCGAGAATGGCAAAGATATATAGTTACATATGATGAATCTTATCCAAAAGGAAATTTATTGCATGATAATGTGGATAGGATTTCATTTTTAAAGCTTTATTTTTTCCTTTTCAAATGATATAAATGATGATGATTAAAATTTTCCTTCTGGACTTAAACAGGGGACTAATTTTTTTTTTTTCTGAGTTTTAGTTTTAATGTTGTGATTCCCGCAGGTAAAGAGAAAGATATGTGGTACCATTCCCCATGTTAGATGGGAGAGACTCTGTTTAGAGTAATTGTGCAAAAGTTGTTCACTGGTTCAACTATGGAAAGTCTTAAAATTTTAAAATCACAATGTTGGCTTTAGTCTGATATTATTCAGCAATCTCCACATTTGTTAAACTGTAGAGAGAGGGGGAAGTAGTTAAGACTTCAACATCTTCTTTACTCTTGATTATAATTTCATATACTTAAACTTTAAATATGAATTGCTTTCCCTTTTTACACAAGTTATAAAAATAAGAGGCCCTGTTTACACAGTTTGCATTTTTATGAAATTTGCAGTTTGAAAAAAAAGCTTTTTAAAAAGTGGTAATTAATGCTCTTCTTGAATATGCTGTAACTTTAGAATTTTTTTTTTCTGAAATAGTTTCTGAATTTAACCCACTAAATATTTGAAGATAGAATTTTTATTTAGCACTAGAGTAAAACATACTAAGGATCGAAGAAAAGGAAGGTTTTTTTCTGGTTCCACTTAATTTTCTTTGTATGTGGCACCCCCTTTATGACAGCTATCAATATTATATTTAAATTTTATATATTGACAAAATGCAATCTACCTCTGTAAGCATTGTGCCATTCAACAGTACTACTATTAAATTTACATACCACAGTTTAAATTACATCCATTTCAGGAATGATAAAATGCTAAAACTCAAGTGTCTAACTGCCTTACTGGAATGAGTACAATTTACAAATACAATAATTACATTTTAAAACCATTAACAATATTACACCTAGAAGTAAATACTGTAAGACTGGTCATCATGGTATTGTGTGAGGGAAATCATAGCTGAAAGTCATGGACATTTCCAGCAGATATATCCCAAGTGCAGATTTTGGTTTCCATTAAACCAAAATTAAAACCTGTTTCTCATACAACAGTTCTCCATTATGTGAATCCTCCAAATCCTTCCATAAGATTTTATTAGTTATCTGCCAAGTATTTTCCTGCAAAACAAAACAACGTATCAACAGGTTACCTGCTTGTTTCAAAATGGGATTATGATATGGGCAACATTTTCATTCCACCTGTCCTACTCCTAGAAGCCAAATACTGCATCTTGTGGGGTGTGATACTAGTATAAAATACATATAATTTCTTAAGTTTTCAATTTCTCAGACCAGCTAGTTGCCTTTTCATGTTTCCACATATGAACCATTTGCAGAGGTTTGGGTTTTAGGATAGGTTGGGAGATTTGTTTCTGGATGTGGGAATCCAACTTGTTATGGGAAGAGTAACCATATAACCTGGGAAATTTTTGAGAATGGAGGGGTTATAACTAATAATTACATGAGTACAATAGGTATTAAAACCAAGAGTTATCCCGACAAGTCATTGATAAGTATAATCACCCTAGTATTGGGAACTCCTTCATCAACAAACTAGCATGTGTGCCAAAAACCTGTCTCATGGTCATATTCAGTTTATAGGCAACCATTTCTGATACTGCCCTAGATTCTTTAAGGTTCCTTATTTTATTTTATTTATTTTTTTAAAGATTTTATTTATTTATTTGACAGAGAGATCACAAGTAGGCAGAGACACAGGCAGAGTGGCGGGCAGAGCAGACTCCCCGCTGAGCAGAGAGCCCGATGAGGGGACAAACCCAGGACCCTGAGATCATGACCTGAACCGAAGACAGAGGCTTAACCCACTGAGCCACCCAGGCGCCCCTAAGTTTTCTTATTTTATTTATTTATTTAAAAGATTTTATTTATTTATTTGACAGAGACAGATCACAAGTAGGCAGAGAGGCAGGCAGAGATAGAGGGGGAAGCAGGCTCCCTGTTGAGCAGGGAGCCCGATGTGGGGCTACATCCCAGGATGCTGGGATCATGACCTGAGCCGAAGGCAGAGGCTTAACCCACTGAGCCACCCAGGCGCCCCAGGTTGCTTATTTTAAAGTGAAAGATGGACCCTCTCAGATTTCAGCTATGCCTGACAAATATAAAATCTATAAAGTCTTATTGGAGGAAAAAGAGTCTTCAGGTAAGAGGTAAATTCAGAGGCACATAGCATTTATTTTGTCAACATAAAAATAGTAGGATTTACTCCATTTAATTAACCTCAGTGTATATGTGTGTATATAATGTATATAATGGGAATAACTGGTCATTCCCATACAAGAAACAGAGCCAGATAAGTAACCACAGCCTTCCTAATTCTGATTTCTAGGTTATTATCCCATTTTTACTTCATTCTACAATCAGTTTTCTTTCTAATAGGATGAGAAATGGGGATTGGGAATGGGGAAGTGGAAAAAAAAGAAGAGCAAATCAGACACTATTCCTTCTTGAGAGAGTAGCTAAGGTGACACTATTTTTGCAAATGAAAACTCACAGGATGCCCACTTACCTGCAGCAAACCTTTTCTTGATGAGTGAGAACCGATACCCTGCTCCAACAAGTTCAATGTCACATCCGGAAAGGGTGCTTCCTTCACTTGTGAACTGCACAACCAGTGGGGAGGGTTTGCTTGGACCTTCAGATAACTGAAATCTTGCCAATAAAGAACCTACCCCTAAAAAAGAGGGGTACAAAAAGAGTATTTATCATTACAAAAAAGTATGTATCATTACAAGATAATAGTCAACATAACATGCTGGATATAGTTTTAAAAATTATATTCAAAAGTTAACATATAAAATCTAACTTATTAGAAAATAGTATATGTATATGTTTCAGTGATAAAATGGTGATGAATAAAATATATTATGAAATATCATGAGGAACTTTTTCTTGAACACTGTTGAAATTATAATTCAACCAAATGGTACTTAAATTTGGGAACATATTACTTGGAAGGCAATGTATTTTCCTAGTCAGAGGAAAGTGAGAAATACCTCAACTACCAGGGAGTAGAGATCTGACGCAAAATGAAAACATGTCTCATTCAAAGCTCTTCTCTGAAGTGTGGTCTGTCATGGGGTTGGGCAGAAAAAGGGAAGTAGAGGATTCACTGAGGAATTATTTGTTCTTTATTAGTTGAAATAAGTATATACCAAAGCAAAGTGAACTACTTCGCTTGCTTCTAAGCTGTGCATTTTAATAGTTTTCTAATGCCTGAAAGTTATTTCAGCTTTGTATATTAAATAAAGTAAGTCTGTGATTGCATTACCTCCATTTTCTGACTTCTGAGAAATATCAGGAATCTTCCATAATATTCTTTGCTGTTCAGCATTCCTAAAAATAAAATAGGTAAAAGGCTTTTGCATATGCAAAGGTTTTTGTTTAATGGATGCCATTTTTTTTCTAGATAGTGATAATTTAAAAAAAGGATCTTGACAATGTTAGCTACAATTAAAGGATTATCTATTGATAATATTATCGATCAGTTGATCTATCTATTCATCCATCCATTGACATAAATGCTCTCTTTTTTCTGTTCCTTATTGTAACTAGCCACAACATAGGAAAACATATAAAGGACAATGCAGTTAAATTTTTTGACACACCTACTTATCCTAGATGATAAGTCTTAATCAATTCAGGTAACTTAAGTTTTCACTGTCATATGGCTGCCTTTTTTTTTAATGTTCTATATTATTCTTCTGACAATCACATGGAAAAACTAGAATACTTTTTCTAAGAGAACAAGTTATTTTTAGTAACTACTCTCAGTGTCTCTTCAATAGCTGTTCCCGTACCTTCTCTAGTGGTGACTTTTTAATAGTCCAGAGGCTACAAAACAAAACCCTACATTGCTCAGATGCCCCTGCAGTTAGTGTCCTAGATGCAGGTTAGGGTCCGCCAATCACAAACACTGCTTGAGATTTGGAGGCTAGAAGGGAGGAAGAGACCCTTCTCCTGCCACATTCGTGGCTCTTTCCTGCTGGCCAGCAGTGTATGTGAGATGTGGGGATCTTCTCACAAAGTGCTCCATGAAGTCCCATCTCCAGGTGTGTGGGTTTGAGAAGCGGTGAAGGCAAGGCTTGTAGGAACTTTCTCGTCCTTGGATTAACATGGCCGTGGTGAGTTCTTGAATTCAGTGGCTCCATGGGCAGCTTTCGGGTTTATCTGCTTCTTGGTTGTGGCAGAGGGAGCAGCTTCCCTGGCGAGTGAGTTCTGCAGCGTTCTGGGAAACGTTCTTGGAGATCCAGCCTAAAGCTTATTTCTTTCACGCTTCCACTGTCGTGTGAGCATCTAAATCCCTGTGTTAAATCCTTCTCTGCTTAAAATAACAGAATGGTTTCAGTTTCCTGCCCTGAACCCTGACACAGAGGTCTGCTGTGATATCCTCCTGTAGGAAACACAAATGCTATGAAGGCTATGAGCCCTTTGCCCATTTGGGGAAGAGGGAGGGGACTTGGGCTCCTTACCAGACTGCGGGTGGGAGCACGGCCTGGAGCTTGGTTACTCCTCCATCTATGGGGACCAGGAACTGCACGTTGTTGAGGGCTACGGCCGTTGTCATGGCGTCCGTATTGTATTTGTAATCTATGCGCAGGTCAGTGCTGGCTGGCTCACACCGCCAGTTCACGGCCAGGTTCAGAGGTGTGGACTGAATGCCCTGGGCGGACACCTGGCCGAAAGACAGGAAAGAGAATATTTAAGGCTCGACCATTAATCTGAAACAAAGCCAGAATTTATGATGATCTCCCATAGGAAGGTTCTGAGGGGTCAAATGTCATCGTGTGGTTGGTGCTGCTCACAAATGAGCTGTCAGTAAACAGCACCAGAAAGGGTGCCCTGTGAAAGAGAGCTGAGTGCTTCAGGGAAATGGTTACAGATTAAAAACAAAATCAGTTCCTAAACTCTCTATAGTACTTTAGAGTTTACAAAGCACTTGTGTCAGGAAAGGAGGTGGTACCACATTGCTTAAGAGCTGAGGCCAAGGAGTTCGACAGCCTTGGATGTAAGCTCTGATTATCACTTACAAGCTGGGTGATCTTGGGCCAGTCACTAAACCTCTCTGAGTCTCAATTTCTTCAGCTGCCAAATGGGAATTATAACAATCATATCTATCCATAGGCTTGTGGGGAAATCGAAGATATTTTATGTGAAACAGCATCATGCCTAGCACTGTGTAAAGCATTAACGTTTTCATTTGTATTACCTGTTAATACTCTTACCATACTTTCCCTTCACAACACACCAGTGAGTTAGATGAAGCAGGTTATTATTACTCCTTTGGGATTTGCCAAAGTGAGCCCTTGAACCCACATTCTCTAACTGGAGCGGGTGCATTCTACTGTCTCTCATCAGTTCTAGTCAGAATCCACTGTGAGTTTGACCAAGGAAAAGCCATGTTTGCAGAATCAACCATATTGTCTTACCTAAAGGCAGTAATACCAACTTGATTTCTGGATCCACAGTGAAAAATTCGTAACATTATTATTTCATGACTGTTCACTGTCATGATGAATGTGGCTCTAGGAGCGTCTTCTTCTCTCAGCACAGTCATACCACAGGGGCCGTGGGGGTGGTGTCTACACGTTTTTATGCACAGATTATGAGTTTAGCTGATTTTAAAGACTATAAACAGCTTCCTCTAGGCCTGGCAATGCCTGCTCACATGGGCACCATGGGGAAGGGGCCTGAGGGCAGGCTGAGCTCTTTCTGCGGTTGCTGCAGAAAGAGCCCGGATAGGAATATCCTTTTATAAAATGATAGACATGGCTTTGATGACAATTTTAGGTAAACAACCATTCTAAGTGTTTAAACTTCAAATGTTTTTTTGCAGCACAACCCTCGGCAAAATGAACTTTGCTTTGGAAACACATTATTTAGGGTAACTCAAAAGCAGAGCCGACCGACCTCTCCCTGTTGTTTCTGCACTCTGTCTCAGCGGGGAAGATTGGGGAAGCTTGACTTCAGGGCGGCTTCTGCCCAGGGCTTTCTGGATTTGTGCTGGTGTGTTTTTGATTGTTCCAGTCCCTGGGGAATGCTCCTGGTGGCCAGAAACTAAACATGCTGAGATTTGAGGACAATTCCACACAATGCTCATTGCGCTTCCCACCCAATGCCTCGCATCGTTGGAAAACACCACCACAACTAACCAACAGCAAATGGGATTCCTCAGAGCTCACTTTAAAACAAAACAGCAGGCCTAGGGCTACTTACATTCTACAAATACTTTGAAATACATTAGGCTATTAGCTCCTCACAACAACCTATAAAATATCTAGGTAGGAATCCTTATTATCCTTATTTGCAGAGGAGGAAACAGAGGTTCAAGGAGATTAAGTGCCTAAAGTCAGTGGCCGGTAGGAAGCTGACTTAATTTCAGAATGCAGTTTCTTGTCTACAGTTTAATTTTATACCAACCTCATGTTGCAATAGATGAATTCTGTCTACTTCCTAGATTTACTTAATGACAAATATGGAGACTAAAACACAACAACAACAACAACAACAACAACAAAAAGAATCCCACAGCACTGAAGAGTCAAAAAAATGTTTTTAATCAGTGGTGACAACGCAGACGTGGTGTATGTAATGAATGTTTGTAAAAGAAAGCAAGTACAGTTTTATTTTTACCCCTTTGGGCATAAAGAACCCTTCATGGGCCTCAAAATTTAATTTCTTCTTCAGAGAAATGTTTTATTGGAGTTTGCTTTTCTTGCTCCTTTTCATTTCTCAGAAGTGTAAAGCAGTCACTAAATGTGTTTAAATGTTTTGGGGAAAAATAAAAGTTAGATAAAAATGCATTTTTATCATATTTTAATTATACAGGTGATGAATTTCTCTGGTATCATGTTTGTTCAGTGTTATTGATACCCTCCAAAACTTAGATGATATTATTCTTATAGGACAGTCATTTGCATTTTTGTAAAATGTACCGTGATATGGATACTTTACTTTTAGCGGTTTCCTTATCACAATATAAATAAATATTTTCCAACCCAGAGGGTATATTACCACCACAGTGAACTAGTTTACCAATATTTATAATCTCAATTATTGAAAGTTTCCGCAACTTCATTTTTGTAATCTCCAAGTAGCCCTTTGAGTTTATTTTCTTAAGAATTATAGCTTTTAAATTGTATTAAAAGAAATGCTATTTTGTTTACTTTTCTTTAATGTTAGACATGTTAGAATGTATATTTATAATGTGAAAGAGACACCTGGACCATATGAATAGGCTTACCTGATATTTGAGCATGTCCACATTATAATATGTAGCCTGCGGTTTTTGTTCTGACACTTTCTTTAGGTGAGTCATCAGATTTGGCATATTCACCCAGAATTCCTTGGTATTGGCATCATTTTGAGTATTATCGCTATTCAGTCAGGAAGAAAAAAATTATCGAGTAGCATCTTGTGATAAATATCCACCCAAAGAAGCATCCCCAAATGGTCACCTGATTCCTATATCCATCTTCGACAGTCCGTAGAGATCCGATTATTAGCAGTAGTATAGTTTTACTACAATTGCAGTTCTGAAGGGCATTATGCTAATAGATTAATACCCATAGGGAGGCACGCTTGTATTGCTATGAATCTCAGTGAGTATCAACCAATCCTGATAATAATTGGTTGCTTTAAAGAGTGAATTATTTATTAACCCAAACCTAATAGCCCTTTCTGCATCACCAGTTTTCCTCTGAATTAGCGAGTTAATGTAATCAAGGAGCTGAGTACACTGATTTTTTAAAATTTTTATTTAAATTGACTTGAATCGTAGTTTCTCAGAAATTACCGAGTTAAATTCTTGGCCAAATGTAAACACAGTCTTTATCTTCAACTGAGGGGAACAGAATGATACTAAAACTACCGTGGTATTTCATAGAAGAACATCTAAATCCTACAACAGTCACTGCGCTTACAAGATGATCCTGGAATGTGAATGATAATGATTATGGTAGGTACAACAGAGAAATGCAGTCTTAATGAATTCAGGAGTTTGGTATTCCTAGGGATTTGTTAGTTTTGCTCAGATGTCTGTCCATACTTCCTTTACCCAATGCATCTTGAAAACGCTTGTCTCAATGACAAAAGCAATTAGGCAAGAGTGTGAAAAGCCTCTGCTCACTTCCCACATAATGAGGAAACTGAGGGCCCAAAGAATTCAGTAATCTGACATACAACTCACTTACTGAATGACAATTAAAGGCTAAGAAGGCAGAAGGGTGATAGTCATAAAGTGATGATGGCAGGGGCGCCTGGGTAGCTCAGTCGGTTAAGCTACTGACTCTTGATTTTGGGTCAGGTCATGATCTCAGTGTTGTGAGACTGAGTCCTGCGCTGGGCCCCATGCTGAGTGTGGAGCCTGCTTAGGATTCTCTCTCTCGGGGTGCCTGGGTGGCTCAGTTGATTAAGCCTCCAACTCTTGAATTTGACTCAGGTCATGATCCCAAGGTCGTGGGTTCCATCCCTGTGTCTGCTCCATGCCCAGAGTAGAGTCTCTCCCCTGTGTCTGCTTCCTCAGTTGAGATTCTCTTCCTCTTCCTCTGCCCCTTCCCTGCCCTCTCTGTCTCTCTCTTCAGTATAAATAAATACAATTTTTTAAAAAAGATTTTATTTATTTATTCAACAGACAGAGATCACAAGTAGGCAGAGAGGCAGGCAGAGAGAGAGGCGGAAGCGGGGCTCGATCCCAGGACCCTGAGACCATGACCTGAGTCGAAGGCAGAGACTTTAACCCACTGAGCCACCCAGGTGCCCCGGTAAACAAAATTTTTTTAAAAGACTTTCTTTCTCCTTATCCTCCTACTCCCCTGCCCCCAAATAAATAAATAAAGTGATGAAGGCAGGTCAAAAATAAGTTGCTATGATTACACCTCCAAAAGTCAACAAATTAAGAGAGTGAGAAAAAAAAAATCAGGACTTTCTTTAAAACTGTTACTGATCTGTTAGGAGGGACTAGCTTTGTGGCCCAGTCTCAGTAGGACCCATGAACTTCTGCTGTGCCCTGGTATAGGTGGTTGAGGACAAAGCAAAGCTCTATGACTCTGTAACTCTGAGAGAAAAGACTCCTGGTCCCTGAGACTTTGCTCCTGGCCAGGCTGAGCTCAGGATGCTGATGAGGGCTGTCTAAACTTTTATTACCTAAAAGCATCCAAGTTACCCAGAGGTAGGAGATAAGAATAATAGGAAGTCAGTGAAATTAAGTAATTTGCTTAAGGTTCACAGCAAAAGAGTAAGAGTCAGGATTCCAGCCCAGGACAGTAGACTACAGGTTACACTTTCCCACTGCACCAAAAAAAGGTGCAGAATTAATATCCAGCAACATGTCATTAATTTGTACTAAGTAGATCTGAATAGCTGGGAAAATTCCAATGACACTATTTTTTAAGTTAATGTATTTTCTAAGCTTAATAACAAATTAAGTGTAGCCCTATACCCACGATAATTCCTCACAGAACTTGCTTTAATAATTATTCAAGAAAGCCAGTATCAAATAGAGATGCCACTTAGCTAGAGATGCAATTTTGAATGCCAAGAAGTCTTGAAAATTCTTTAGTCTCATGATTGGTTTAGCAGTTGTTCCTGAATTCTTTATGAGCAAAACCCTTTTGTGAAGGAAAAGTAGACATAAACTTCAATTTGGTCCCTCTCGAAGGATTGCGAACCCAAATGTCTTCAGGTGCTGAGCTGTTAACCAAAATGGAGTCTTTTAGAACATGTAAATGAGAGAACTGGCTGGGTCTAAGGCCGTAGATGTCAAAAGGCTTGTACTGCAATCAAGAACAATACTTGATTATGTTGCCATTTATTTATTTATTTATTTATATGTTGCCTTTTAAAAACTAGGGATGACAGCGGTGATGGTGGAACCATCCTGCCCAACAAACCCACACAGGCCCATGACTGTGGTTACCAGTCACGTCCCTGACACAACAATCAAATATTTAGTTGATAAGGTCCAAAGTAATGAGGATATTTTGTTTTTGTTTTTTTGTCTTGGCAAATAATAACGGAAGCTTCTGTATAATGTTTTGTCAGACACAAACATACTCAGAGTATGATTCAACTCAATTCATAGGACTGATACATTAATATAAATATAAAACTCTTGCAAATAGGCCTAAAATCTTGGCCACGTAACTACCTAAAAATGCAGCAGAAACTGTGACATTTGTCTTATTAACATACCAGTGAGATGGTGGCACATAATCCCTAATTTCAGGTGGAAGAAACTTGACAAATAAAATTTATTGGCTCAACTGGGGCTGTATGTTAAATGCTGAATCACTAAATTCAACACCTGAAGTTAATATTACACTCCATGTTAACTAACTGGAATTTAAATAAAAACTTGAAAAAAACTAACTGGCTCAATGTGCACATCAAAAGCAGGGAGAGAAACTTGAAAAAGAAGTTGCTGATTTCTAATCTTGATTTTTTTACGTTTATTTTTCGTTTAATGGGTGACCATTTCCTTCCATACTTTTAAACCTGGAATGAAGTTTTCTAGTCAAACCACGACACCAACCAAAGAAGGGGGAGGGGATCTTGGTAGTCACCTGAAAGACCTGTGACTGTTTTGTCACCACTGGAATGAAAAAGTCTCACTCAGTGAAGAAAGTGACTACGTTGGTCCTTCAGTTCTAAATACCAACAACCTTTAGTCAGAGGCAGAGCGAGAGAGAGAATCTTTTTTTTTTTTTTTTTTTAAGATTTTGTTTATTTATTTGACAGACAGAGATCACCAGTAGGCAGTGAGGCAGGCAGAGAGAGAGAGAGGAGGAAGCAGGCTCCCTACTAAGCAGAGAGCCTGATGTGGGGCTCGATCCCAGGACCCTGGGATCATGACCTGAGCCAAAGGCAGAGGCCTTAACCCACTGAGCCACCCAGGTGCCCCGGAGAGAGAGAATCTTAAGCAGGCTCCACACAGGGAGCCTGCTCCGCCTCATAGCCCTGAGATCATGACCTGACTGAAAATCAAAAGTTAGTGGCTTAACCAACTGAGCTACCCAGGTGCCCCAACCTTCAGTTACTTCTACATAAGTATCCTGCTTGACTAAATTCTTTAAGTCATCATTGACTCGTTCATTCATTTAACAAATGTTAGTTAAGTCTTTACTGGACGCCAGGCACGGTGGAAGATATCGAGGATGTGATGGTGAACTAAGAGCTGTGTTCCATTCCCTCATGCATTTTACAGTCTAGTGGGGGAAATGGATGAATAAAGAAACAGAAATAGATATGTAATATAATTATTAATTCTAGTAAGGGACAAAGAGGGAGAAGAATTGGGTACCTTGAGAGAGAACAACAAGAGGGCATATTTAGTTTGGGGATGGGGGCTAGGGGTGGAGAGGGCAGTGGAATGGTCAGGGGAGGCCAAGCAGAGCTGAGATCTGAAAGGTGAGTCACGGTCAGGTGCAGAGGGGGCAGGAATAGTATTGGAGGCAGAGGAAGCAAGCACACAGACTTCTGACTTGGGAAAGGCCTCTGCCTGTTCTCAAGACTGGGAGGTCTGGCTGGAGCTACAAGGATTCTGAGGCAGGATGGTGGGAGCTGATAACAGAGAAGCAGGGGAGGGTAGATGACTCAGGGCTTCAAAGGCAATGGTAACAGGTTCACATTCTGGTACAGACACAATGTGAAGGCACCTGAGGATTATGCATGGCAATGACTGATTCACCTCAGGAAAAGTCATTCAGCTGTTATGTAAAATATGTTGGCATGGGGCAAGATTGGGAGCAGGAAGGGAAGGAAGAAAGCAATTTCAATGGCCTGGGAAAATGACAGTGGCCACACAAACGGGGTGGTCACAGTAAAGAGAAAAACATGGCCACATGAGAGAGAGATTTCTAAGTAAAATATCAAGACTTCATGATGGAGGGGAAGTTCTCAAGAATGACATCGCCTGTCTTAGTCATTGCCAATAACTCACTTGTATAGCTGATCATTTTTAATAGCTTCATCCATGTGTATGTTTGGGTGAATCTGCATGTATGTAGGTATGATAAAGACATCATGTTCAGATTTAATAGTTAGAAAATGTGAAAAAGTGTATTTATACAAACAAATTCACATAAGCTTCTTTGAATAGATGTAAAGTCCCATCAGAACAATTACCATTGCCATAAATTACATATTTCACAAAAAGACTTTCAAGCTCACGTGAAGAATAGCTCAGGGTTCAAATATCATTTGATTTTAAAAGATGTTACTACAACAAATGGATTTCATTCCTTTTAGTGGGCTGATTTCCCACCTCCTTATCCCTTATTTACTATGGTCAGTAAAATGGGCCATGAGTAAACTGTCACTAATACAGATTCTGTTACCCTAAAGATCTCTTTAGCCACTTGGGATAGTTGGCCATTAGAATACATATACACATATGTACACGAACACCCACTGAAGATTTTGACGGTGGCAAAATTCTGGATGAATCTACAAACACATATGAATAGTGGTAATTTCTCTACTGTGCTACATTCTTGCTAAGGTATATCCCTCATGTAAGTATCCAGTGCTAAGCAACGCACATCTCTAAAAAATTTGTGCAAAATATATTTACCAGCAGAGAAGTTGGGGATTTGGCAGGACGTGTTCTAACCTGCTGAAATTTATCACCCGAAAAGTCAGAGCAGCTGGCGATGGGTTGTTGGCAAAGTGTCTGGTGATGCCAGCAGGAAAAGACAGCACCATTTCTCCAGTAATCTTCACAATACATCTGGCATATCAAAACATATGAGAGGAAAGAGAAAGAGGAAACCCAAGTCAATATGCTGTGAATCAAGACAGTTGTGAACAAGAAATGATTTATGTACCAATATTATACGGCAGAAGAGATCGAAGGTAAGCTCTTACATTTCCATTGTCAACTACTAAATCATTTCTAAGACCTGAGAATGCAAGATTTGTGTTGATACTTATCCAAAAAAGTGGCCATTTACTGAATGTGTTTTTGAACTGTCAGGAGAAAAATACAGCTTTTGTCTTTCTGTAGATAAGTCTATATGTTCACCTCGCAAAGAGAATCATCTATTCTGATTTCTGAATCTTTGGCAGCATATTTGCAGATATTAAATCAATTTAATTGATATTAAATCAATATCAATTGATTTAATCAATTGCTTTAATCTGATATTAAATCACAATATCATCACACAACCACTGGGACTTATTTCAGTTCTCAGTAACAGGATTGATGCCTTGAGCGTGTTCTTTTCTGCGCTCGAGAGGTAAGCTTCTTGCTTCCATTTAGCTACATCTTTATCCCATGTCTATTTGGCTGAAACTGTAAAAACCAGTCATACAAGTTAGCACAATAGGATGATAATTTGGAAGGAAAAATAATCCCTTTTTAGAAAAGGGCTTTATTGAGGCATACATGACACACAATAAATGGCACTCATTTACAGTGTAAAATTCCATAATTTTTGGTATCTTATCCACTGTGAAGCCATCACGCAATCAAGTTACTGAATGTACCCAGCATCCCTGAAAGTTGCCTCATGCGTTTCTGTGACCCCTCTCTCCTGCTGTTCTCCGTCCTTCCACTCCCCATCCCTAAGCAATTGCTAATATGCTTTCTGACACTACATATTAATTGGCACATTCTAGAATTTCATGTAAACAGAAACATAAAGTGTGTGATTTTTTTTTTTTTTAGAATCTGGCTTCTTCCATTCTGTAATGATTTTGAGATTCACCCGTTTAATGTACACATCAATAATTCATGACTTCATTGCTGTATAACGTATGGTCATACCATAGTCTTTTTTCTTCTTGATCCACTCATTGGTTAAAGAACATTGGGATCTTTTCCAGTTTTTAACTATTACAAATAAATCTGTGATGAATATGTTTCTACTGGCCTTTGTGTGGACGTAGGCTCTCATTTCTCTTCATAAATAATGTAGGAGTGAAATCACAGGATCACACTGAAATCAAGTAGTATGAATCCTCCCACTTTGTTCTTTTTCAAAATTGTTTTGGCTATTGTAGGTCCTTTGCACTTTCCTATCAAATTTATAATCACTCTCAGTTTCTACATTAAGTCAAAGTCGTTCCAATTCACCCTTTATTGTCTGCGCAGAGCAAATTATTATTGGGCCCTTTCTAGAGACCTTTTCTTTGCCAACGGGCACTATGTTAAATTTTGTCAGTAGAGGGCGCTGAAAAGACATTGCAGGAGGAAGAGCTTTTTCCGTCTTGGTTCCAAGATACTTGCTAGGCAGGCTCCTGCAGTTCTTAGGGCATATCTAGCACCAGGCTTTTGCAGTGCAGGAGGCCTGGGTGTGACCTCTGTGGTGCAGGTGGCATCCCCAGTGCGTGGGTATTACAGCCCATGTGGCTTGGAGGGCGCCCGGTGGTCCCGGCAGCTTCCCTAGCATCTGCCTCCTGGAGTGCATGTGTCTGGGCTGTCCCAGCGCCCAGATCCTGCAATGCAACTGGGTTCTCCAGTTCCAGCCTCCTGTCCTGTGCACAACAACCAAAACAATAACTTCTACCACTTTAAGTTCAGGAGTGTATGTTCTAGGGAAATTGGGGTTCCTAGGTGTAAACTCTGCTCACATCTGAGTGCAGGGAACTCTACTTGCCCCCACAATCTCCCAGTTGGGTGCCAACTCTGCTGTCTTCCTTCTCTGTCAAAGTGAGATCTAAGTGGTATCTTGGTGGGGGGCGGGGAATAAAGTTTCTCTTTTGAAAACTAGTCAGTGAGGGGAGGGAGTGGCATTTATTAAGTGAGTAAAAGTTTATTGACTCCTAATTTTGTGATTTTTGTTTGTTTTGAGTGGGGATGTCATTTAAAAACAAGCAAAACAGCCCCTTTCTTCAAAGGGCTTATAGTGTTGGGCGGCCGCTGAAGGAAGTAGTCAATATAAACCGATATAAGAAGTACTGAGTTTCTTCATTTATATTACATTTCTGATTGCCTCTCAGCTGTCACCTGCAGAACTTTACTGACTTATTAATTCATCCAGTATCTATTTCCAGATCTGAAATTTTCCATACAAAAATGAATATTTTCAACCCATACTCACTAAAGGAAAATACTTGGTTAATGATTGTTCCTATCAGGATGAAACGCGGCTACCTTTCATGTGAGTCTGAATTGCAGAGATCTAAAATACAGCAATATGGAGATAGTCACACACTCATGAATAAAATTTGAAATCATGTGAATCCCAACAAACGAAACACTTGTCAAGAATGGCAAAATTTGGGGCGCCTGGGTGTCTCAGTGGGTTAAGCCTCTGCCTTCGGCTCAGGTCATGATCTCAGGGTCCTGGGATCAAGCCCCACATCCGGTTCTCTGCTCAGCGGGGAGCCTGCTTCCTCCTCTATCTCTGCTTGTCTCTCTGCCTACTTGTGATCTCTCTCTCTGTCAAATAAATAAATAAAATCTTAAAAAAAAAAAAAGAATGGCAAAATTTCAAAGTCATCTGGCTAAGTGACTCATAAACTGGGTTCTCCCCCTGGCCACAGGTAGCCCCACATTAGCCAGTCAACAGAGATGCTGGCCAATTTTGGTCAGGAAAGGTGTGAATTTGGTATATGTGAGGTCATCAGAAGTACATCCCTGACATAAATGTGACTTCTATGGACTGTTGTGATAACTAAGCCCATGGTCTTCTTTTCAAGTGTATGTACCTCTGAGCAGATGCGGTCTCCCTTCCTTTACTTATAATCCCCTTTCACTGGCTTAGGTCTTAGCAAACGTTTCAGGTTTCAAGACTCAGTTCAAGAAAGGCAGGCCTTTCAGAGACCTTCCTTAATATTCTCTTTATTCAGCCTTTTTTACTTTTTCTTTTCTCTAGGTTCCTTGGACAGAGGTACAGATTTTTTTAAAAATGATTTCATCACTTCTTACACATATCTGACCCACTGTTTACAGGGCAAGTGCTGTGTCTTGGGTTCTAAAAAGGCAGTGCACATGACATAGAACCTAGTACAATAAGATGTAAAATAAATTCATAGATTGAACAATTATATATAGGGTGACTATATAATGAACTGGGTATTATGGAGTGCCCTGGAATGGGCAGTGAGAAATAGGACAAAAGACGTCTTTGCCCAAACTTCCAGTTTAATGGGAGACAGATACTTGAATAAATAATTGAAATGTGATGATAAGGGAAGGATAGAATATAGCTGACAGACACAAATTTTCCAGGGAAGTAAAGAATTAATCCCTAACACCAGTGTTATTCAAATAGGAACAAATAACTGGAGATGAATTTCCCAGACAGCATCCAAAGTCAAGGACTTCTCTGCCAATGGACAACTGAGAAAGACTCAGGTGTCAAAATGCCTACTACAGGTGTTGTCAATACTGAGAGTGTAACTAGAATGGATTATATATCATAATATATAACAATTAAAGTAGCAGATTGTGTTTACAGTGTATGGTCTGAAAACAAATGGGGAAGGTTTTGGGTGCAAGATGAGAAGGAACCACAGGCAAAAGCAAATCCCCGTGGCTTTTCTGTATCATTTCTCTATGTGGGGCTGTGTTTGACTTCATCCTCCCCCTCCCTCGCTCCCACTGATAGAATTTTTGAACTTGAGATGTTTCCTTGAAAGTGAATAACAAAGGAACAGCAATTAAAATGATTCACTGCTTGGAGGTGAAATTTAGAAGAATGTCACCTCATGATCTGTTCATAAATTTCAGATCTCATAATTTCAATGAAATTTACTGAATCTCTCATCTACAAATATGCAATATACACTGCAACTACTTATGGCAATATGATTGAAAACAGACTCAGTGTATGCAGTCATCTCAAGTCAAAGACTCGGTTCATTTGGAAGGGCATAAGAAAACACCAATATTAATTTGACTCAAACACCACACTGGAATGTCAAGGTCATGGATATCAGGCTCCCAGGTGCACACACCTGCCCACACACCTGCTAGAGTATGCTGGGGAAACTGAAACAGGATGAAGAATCTAGCTCGTAGAGGCACAGACCCACAAAGTGACTGGCAGACTGCTATACCACTCCTTGGGATTTAAAGAGATTATTATCAAAAGCTTCTTAACTCCCCTGCAGGTGTAGTTATGGTGCAAGGGGAGTTAAGAGGACTTTTTATATTTATGCACAAGTATTATTTTCACTGATATAACCCCTGTCTAGCACAATGGCTGGCACATAGCCATCGTTCTATAAATGTTAGGATAGTAATTCAACTCAACTTATTCAGTAATTTTGCCAGGTCCTGCTTTAGATGCTGAGGAGGTAGGAATGAAGAAAATGCCCAAAGCTCCAGTTCTCATGGATTTTATATTCTAGTGGGAGAAGAGACAGTGGACACTGAAAACATGCAACATGTTAATTAAAGAAAAGAGCGAGGGGTGCCTGGGTGGCTCAGTGGGT